ATGACTGAGTCTCATATAACAAAACTAAAAAAATTATGTCGAATATGCGGAGAAAAACTTGGAAATCGTAGTGTTCTTTTAACAAAGCATGTAGTTAGAATAGAATTGAATTTTTTTATACGAATCGACGAGGATGACCCAAAGATGCACCCACAGAAGATGTGTTACAGATGCTTTACAATAATGAGAAACATAGAAAAAGGTTCAAATACTGATCTTAAATTAAGAACTTGGATTAGCAATTGCCAGAAAGATGAATGTATTTGTTTCAAAGTAAATAAAGGAAGGAAACCAAAGAAAACTGTAAAAGGAAGGCCCTTAAGTATTGTAAATGAAGAAATTTGGACTCGACAAGCAATAAATAACATACAAGCTAAACTTTCATCTCTACCAAATTTAAATCTGAAACTACAAGACATTAACCAAAAATTAAACCCACATGTACATCTTTGTGTCTGTTATATTTGTAATGGTATTATGTATAAACCAGTTATTTTAAAAAACTGTCTGCATTCGTTTTGTGCACCATGTATATTACCACTAATCAATGGTAAACTATTATTTAAAACAAAATGCCCTAAATGCTCCTTTTCAATTTCAATTGATGGAATAACCTCCTCTAGCAATGTTATTGAAATGATAAATAATATTCAAGAAGAATGTAAGCAACATTGCGGTAGATTATTTAAAGTGTCACAACAATCAGAACGCTTCAACCATCAAAATAATTGTCAGACTCCAATACCAATTTCCACAACCTTGTCAACACCCTCATCACAAACAACTCTAACAGATATATTTGCATTAAATTCAACAAGTGTTATCACAAGGGATATTGATGCTGTTGCACTTCATATTATTAAACAAAAAATGTTGCAAACAACATCCAATGTAATAGAATTTCAGACAGATGGACCAAGGGTAAGATTACTTTAGTAAAAAATTACTATTACAAAATTATTCAACTTTTATTTTAATAAACTATAATAACATATAAAACATTCACAAACTACATAGTATTTTAGCCTTTATGCTTCACATCAACACCAAAAGCCTATAAAGAAAGTAAAGATGCAACTTTACGAACAGTTTGCAAACGACAATCACAGTTAAACGATTACATAAGCACAACATGTGGTGGAAGCATTAGGTCCAAAATCAACCAAACCACTTGCCATGTGCTTATATTAACAATCTGCATGGACATATAATAAATGTGCTAGATAGATTAGAAAGGTAAAAACAAATCTTGCTTATAAAAGTACTTGTATTATATCTTTCTTTAACAATTTCTGACTTGGAAGGTTTAGATATAATACTACAAAAAAATACAAAAATAAATTTATTTGGCACACATTCAATATAAATAAAAAAATCAGTTCTAAAATTTCATTTTCTATAATATATTTTAGCAACAACTTACTATTGAACAAAAAGATTAAATGCAATGAAATCCATATAAAAATAGGAGGCGACCATGGAGGTGGCTCGTTCAAAATGTGTTACCAAGTAGTGAATGTAGAGAAACCTAATGCAAAAACAAACACAACTGTCTTTAACATATTTGAAGCAAGTGATTGTAAAACAAATCTGAAGTTTTCACTGTCAAGATTTAAATCAGAAATCGATTTGTTGCAAAATACCATTTGGAGGTAAGAATATGTTACAACCAACTAAATAATCAAAATATTTAAAACAAAATTATTTATGTTGTTTGTGATTAATTTGAACCTATATAACTATTTTCAAATGTAGAGAAAAACAGATTCGTGTATTTTTATTTGGTGATTACAAATTCTTGTGTGCAATCTATGGAATAACTGGTGCAACTGGTAAGTAAATATTTAATATATACATATCCATTTAAAAACTCATATGGAGCATATTCCTGCTATATGATTGATTTTGTTTTTTAAGTATTGAACTGTTTGATAACCTCAGGTAGACACCCATGCCTGTTTTGCAACATCACAAGACAAGGAATGTCAACTCCAATTAAGGACAACATTGAAATGCGATCACTTGAGACACTAGATTCACATTTAGAAAAATATAAAAATCATGGTTCAGATCCCAAGTTTGCCAAGCTATGTGATAATGTTATTGACCAAAGGTTATTTAATGTGCCACTTGATCAGGTACTTTGCTTTAAATAATTATTTTCCAACTAACATCCGTAACTTTTATTTTAATTACAACAAAAGTGATTGTTAACAATAATTTAATATTTTTATTGCAATTTAAGATCGGAATTCCAGCATTACACATCTCACTTGGTACGTATTTAAAATTCTTCAACATGTTAGAAGACTCTTGTCATACAATTGATGTCAAAATTGCAGGTCGAATGGCAGTAAATAACCAAACACTTGAAGACTGTGAAGAGTTTAACAAATATATTGAGAAGCAGCGTCAAATAAAACAACTTCAGATAAGTATTCCGGATCTTGAAAATAAAACACGTATCATAACAGAAGCACTTGAAACTCACATATTATCTAACCCTGAAAATGAAGAATATATAAAGTTAGTATTTGAACCAGGCATAATTCACTTTGAAGAGAAAAAAAAAAGAAAAGGTAAACATTTAAAATTTTATTGTTCACTAAAAATATAAATCATAAACAATACATTTTGCTTGGATCCTAATAGATGTTATTTCTAACATTTTATGTTTTGGTATTTTTTATTTATATAAGTATTTTGTATTTATAAGAGAATCAATAGCCATATTTATATTCATAGATCTCAGAATTGGAAATAATGAAAGAAACTGACCATGTAAAGATGTCATTTGGTCCACTAGTAAATAAACTCGACGAGGTACTTAATTTGTTAGGAGTGCAAAGACAAGCATACCATGGGAAAAGTTTTGTTGGTAACCATGTTAACAAAATGTTAAAGGTAAACTAATCATTTAGTTCTTAAATATAGAGTAGTATATTCATTAATTACAAATTAAGAAAAAAGTATATTTATATAGGTATGATCAGTATGTATTTGTTTATATGTATATCTAATATATATATATATATATATATATATATATATATATATATATATATATATATATATATATATATATATATATATATATATATATATATATATATATAAAGTGTAATTTAACATATATAACTTATTTGATTTAAAAAACATTATTAGATGAAAAGTATCCTCGAACTATGCAACTCAATACCAAAGCTTGTAGTTGAACTTGGGTTCAAGGATACTGACATACATAAAGAAACTTTTGAACTTTGTCAGAACTTTAAAGTCCTATTTGATAAGTTTGGGACAAGCTTATTAACTCCTGCAAGCAGTTCAATGAAGAAAACATTCAAAATCTTGGTATGACATGTAATATTATTATTAAGTATATATATATATATATATATATATATATATATATATATATATATATATATATATATATATATATATATATATATATATATAATATTACATAATATTTATATATAATTGTTTACAGAAAATCGTATTGAAGATTTTATGAAATACTTTCGTGATAACTGGCCAAATGAATCAATTACACCTAAGCTTCATATGCTTGAATATCATGCATCATCTTTCATTAGGAAATGGGGAGTAGGACTTGGTACATATGGAGAACAAGGTGCAGAAAGTATTCATGCTGAATTCAACAGCATGAAGAGTACCTACTGGCACATGAAAGGAAAACGTAAACTCAAAAGTATAATGGATGAACACTTCTTAAAAAACCATCCAACAGTAAAAAAATATCAACAAAAAGCTCTGCCTAAAAAGAGGAAAATTGAAGAGACTTAAAATAATCTTATAAAACAATGCAAAAGAGTTTTCAGGAAATAAATGGCAGTATTATGGCGTAAATATTATTTCTGCCAGTATTTTTAAACCTTCAGATAAAAAGAAAAATTGTCAATTTTTAAAAGCATTAAATTATAACAAAAAAAAGTAACCCAGTTATAATTTTAGCTTTAAATGATTCACACACTACTATAATTTCAAAAAAAACTAAAGGTAATGGCTAAAAAATTTACAATTTTAAAATATAGGTCATAATGTAAGCACAGGTTAAACATTCCCAAAAAAACAACAAAGTTTCACTTTAGTTCCACATCTTCTCTTCTCCTAAAATTATTTAAATGATAGCTTTGGTAAAATCTACCATACCTAAAATATTGTTTTGACATAATTTCTTAGAGATAATTTAGCATTATCCACATATAATTAAAGTTTGAAGTGTATACAACTTTAGTGAGAAATCCCTTTTTAACCGCGATCGCTTATGTTTACAAATATTTGCACAAAATTTGACGCATGCGCGTGTTAAAAGTCCATTACTAAACCACCGTGTAAGATTAAGAGGGTACCTAGTTAACCATTCCAACAGGGTCCCAGTTGGGATTGACTGGGATTGAGCTGGGCTTACTAGGATTGGATTCGGGCTGGGTGTCAGATGGGTCCCATATAGCGTAAAGGTATTGCCTTAAATTGAATCTGTTTTTCAACTGGGATTCGCATGGAACTTCCGTGAATGGTTTAAGGCTGGTTTGAAAACGGGACGCGAGTGATTAATGGTAGCGTGTATTCTGTAATTAAAATATCACATCCGCCTAGAATATCACATTCACCATAGTTAATAGACTTAAACTGGTTTGGAAACTCGGAACTTTGCGTAACAAAAACTATATTACAGGGTTATTCATTCTTATATGCGCGTCTATTCATTTTTATATGCGCCTTTATTCATTCTTATATGCGCATTTATTCATTTTTATATGCGCCTTTATTCATTCTTATATGCGCATTTATTCACTTTTATATGCGCATTTATTCACTTTTATATGCGTCTTTATCCCTTCTTATATGCGTATTACAAAAGCAATTGTAAAAAAGCAATTTAAACTAAAAAAAATCATTTAAGCAATTTGTTTTGAAAAAACAGTTTATTTTTTCAAAATAAATTTTTCTTATTTCTAGGTAAACGAGGTTAAAAATACTTAAAACGAAGACTTTTTACATTCGACGATGGTTTATTTAATTTAGTATTAGTTCTTTGTTTTCGATAATAGTTTATTTAATTTAGTATTAGTTCTTTGTAATTTTATTATTAAATTGCTTGACTGATTAAGTTATTATTTATCTAATTATTCATTTATCTAGATTTAAATTTAATTATTTATAATTATTATTAATATCAATACTTAATAGCTGTAATACTTAATAGCTATACCATGTAATATAATACTTAATAGCTATACCATGAGAGGCTAGTGTTTGCCTAATAGAAAGACTCCAGTGGAATATACAATTGTCCATAACAAGCACCAGGGCCTCAACTTTTGCATTCCTAATCGCTGGTGCCATCATTGTAGTTATGAAAGTACAAAATGAATCTACATTCCAGCCTCCAGTTTTTATTTCATAAGCAAGCACTTCCGTTGTTGAAACAGCACAAATTAAACTAACATTCTTACCACGATTTGCATGTGACTGTAAAATTGCTGGCGTACCTCTTAGCAAAGAACCATATGTGCTGTTAGTGTGCACATTAAATTCAGTTTTATCCAAATAAATAAGTTTTTCACCTGAAGTTCCATTTATTTCGCTTGCAAATGCATAGCGTGCATTAATAACTGGTGTTGAGTTTCGTTCTTCGGCACATGCACAACACGTTTTCTTGATAAATCTGAGCGTTTGAGTTTTCTTGAAATAGTAGACTGAGATATGTTGAAGCCTGCTGCAGAATGATATTTTTTTATTGCTTCTTGCGTGCAAAGATTGTTTTTATTGTACGCATAACTCTATAATATTTTTTATTTGAGAGTTTATAGGTCTTTTACCTCGTTTTATTATCAGAAAACGACTTGAATGCAGCCATGTCGTCGAATTATCCTCTGTTTAACTTAACGACAAAATTTTGAACTGCGCGCTTCAATAAATTTAAAGAAGTGGAAATGCTTGTTGTAGATTGATTTCTTTCAATTAAATGCTTTAGCATTTTAATGTGCTCTTTTGTAACATTTTCCCTTGTTTTACAATTGGAACTGCTATTTTCTATTCCATCCATAGGGATGTATAATTTGATAATAATAATAATTATAAATAAGTAAATTTAAATCTAGATAAATGAATAATTAGATAAATAATAACTTAATCAATCAAGAAATTTAATAATAAAATTACAAAGAACTAATACTAAATTAAATAAACTATCATCGAAAACAAAGAACTAATACAAAATTAAATAAACCATCGTCGATTGTAAAAAGTCTTCGTTTTAAGTATTTTTAACCTCGTTTACCTGGAAATAAGAAAAATTTACCTGGAAATAAGAAAAAATTGAAAAAAAAAACTATTTTTTCAAAACAAATTACTTAATGATTTTTTGAATGAATATGATTTTGAATGATTTTTTGAATGATTTTTTGAATGAATAAAGGCGCATATAAGAATGAATAAATGCGCATATAAGAATGAATAAAGACGCATATAAAAATGAATAAATGCGCATATAAGAATGAATAAAGGCGCATATAAAAATGAATAGACGCGCATATAAGAATGAATAACCCTGTAAGTTGAAAATGCAATCACGTGACATTGACCGTGCACAACATAACATAATATTTACAACATAATATACAATGGCTGTAGAAGGAGGAAACTGTAATAATATTTGTAATGCTTTTGGAAACTTTTGTAAAAGATCACGAACTTGAAAATTATGCTGAATCTATTTTAGAAGATGAGTACTTTTAAAAGTTTTAAAAATTGCATAAATCTAAAAAACATTTATCAACGATATAGCTGCTGATAGGTATGCGGAAATAGCCGTTTTACGGAATCGAATTTTGTGCTAAAATTCTGTGCCACGTTTTTTGAATTTTTTTTGAGGTAGCGTCAGACAAACGTTTTGTTGTGGTGTTTCTTTTTAGAAAAGTATATCAACATAGATTATTTTTGAAAAGAAGAGACTTAGATGCATATTTTTATGAATCAATTATGTATGGATGATTTACTTTTTATTGACTTTATAGATATTGAAAATTTACTTGATGTTGTCACGTGAAATTTGTATTGATGGAATGCTGAGACATTTTGCAAAACTACTGAGACATTTTTTTACATCCTTTATTTATTCACTTGCCAAATTTCAAGAAAAAATAATATGTAGCAGATAATTTTAAAAGTGTAGCAGTTTTGGTACCTAAATTTTGTTTTCACAAATTCGCGATGGGTGTTGTTGTGGTTAGGGAAGAAAGTCGGAATCTACATACTATGTATATAACAATAACAGTAATAATAATACTGTCATTATTATTGTTGTCGTTATTTTAATAATTTCATTGTTTTATATTTATTATTAAATCATAATTTATGTATATAATATGAATACACTATATTATGGTTTATTCTTTAATATTCTTTTAGATAAAATAATATTCTTTTATATTCTTTTATATTCCTAATAATATTCTTTTATATTCTTAATATTCTTTTAGATAAAAAGCAGATATTTGTTTAACAATCATTGTTAATCTCATCAATCAATCTCAGATTGATTTTTGTAAACAAAAAATTCATTTTTGTAAACAAAACAATCTCAGAAAGATTTAGAAAATCTTTGGATATTACCATATCTAGTAAGGTATTTATGTCTTTAATCGTGACATTTGTATTTAAAAATTTTTGTATAATTTTTGTAGTTTTATTTTTCTGTTTCAAGTAAGGAATTAAAAAAAAATGTCTTTATAATTCCTGTTATGTCTGAAACTGTAAAGTGTTATTCTTTAAACATTAGGATAAAAATTTTAGTATGTTGTCAAATGTGCTAACAGGTAATATTCCATTTTTGAAAAAAAATGGAATATTACCTGGAAAAGCTGATGATTACATTTTTGGACATTACATTGTACTGATTACATTGTATTGATTACATTGTAGGGCAGTAGATCATCTAGCTTTTATTTATTCGAATTTTCATTTACATAATTATGATGAGTGTTGTTAATTGAGTATTGAAAATATTTCCATCACAATATCAGACAGAGTTGCAGTTAACCATCTAACCATAAGCAAAGTTAGTGCAACTTGGGGTAAAACTCTGAATTTATTGAATTTTTATTTTCACCCTCTTGATACAATTGCTACTGAATGTCGCTCAGCGTTGATGTGTCTAGAGACAGAAAATTTGAATTATTTGGCAATGATTATGTAGCTGTCAAAATTGATTTGGCTGTGAATAAGATGAGGTTTAAAGACAGTGAAAGCGATCCCAAGGGATTTGTTACTTTTTAAGACCACAAAAAACTACCTAGGTGTATCATCCCTAGATATCGAGGAAACCGTCTTCATATTTTCTTTTTAAAACTTGTCATATATTTATTAAACACTATGCTAATTTTCTAAATTTTCTGATCACTAGAACAGTCAAATGTGGCAGTTTGCAAGCAGCTCTGCGAGAAGCATTTTGTAATGCTACCACTTTAAAAAAAATGTGTGTGCTTGGTGTATTTGGGAAACTGCTAAGTGGTCCGTGGATGACTAAGTTTTATGTATCAGCTGAGGATGCAAATTTTGATCATCTCACCGGTATTGAGATTCTAAAAAACATTTTGGAAACAGTTAATGTTTGCAAATCTAATCCGGCTGCACTGTTTTGCAGAGCAACAGATTTTTTGGGGAAATGCTTCCCTCAAACGTTTTTGAACCAATAACATATTAATGCTGCATTGATGACCAGGTTATTAACATGACTTCAGCTTGTCTTAATTCAGTAAAGGATGTATTGATTAGACAATGTAAAAGGTACTTCTCCTTTTTCATTACAGAGACACTTAAGCAGGAAACAGCTAGTGCAAGGTTTCACAATATAGATAGTGAAGAGTTAATTGGTATGTTTAGTGAATCTAAGGGAAGATTCCCTAATACAACAATTTTATATAATTCTTGAATGTAAAGGAATAAGTGAATGTAAAGGAAGATCCTCTAATGCAACAACTTGTTATATTTCTTGCAAAATAAGATGAAAAAAGAATAGGACTATTTATTATCTTGATAGTTTAGATTACTAACTAAGTAAGAAAATGTAATTAATGGTCCATTTTCTACAACATGCTCAAATTCGATCTGCATTATATAAGAGACAGACATGCAAGCATCAAATGTTGGATGAACAAGATAAAAAGAAATTATAACAAAAACTTAAGTTAATGACTTTCAGCCAGATTAAGAATTTGTATAAACAATTATCATCCAGTTGCTACAAAGCAACTGGATGATTTAGATGAT